CCCGTCGGGGCACCCCGTCCCCGTGGCACCTCGCCGCCCCCCGCGACTAGCATGCCGCCGAGGAGGTGAAACCCAGCCCGCCGCTGCCGCCGCCGCGCGGCCCAGCACCGCCAAGTGTTCGACGGTGCGGCCGCGCCCCGCCCATTCCCAGCCGATAATGGATCTCAAAAACGTCATCGAAAATGTGTCGAAACGATATCGCTAGTCGTCGTTTTTGACGTCGGAGCGACACTACTCGCGATGTCGTGTCGACATCCCGACGACGTCGTTCAGAACGCCATTTCTCACTGGGTCGGGCCCGTTGGGTTTGGCAGCGCCGCCGTCAGCCCTGCAGCAGCAGGTGCTCGTGCGGCCGTGGCCGGGCCTCGGGCCGGACGCACGGCCGCTGTGCCTCGCCCTGCCCCTCCTGATGGCGTGCCCCGTGCCCCCAGGCGTCGAGTGCGCGGACATCGCCGACACCGACTCCAACCTCCGCGTCTCGATCCTCTCGCGCGGCGTGGGCGGCCAGGCCATGTTCTCCTGCCCGGCGGGCTTCGGGCTCGTGGGCCAGACCCACAGCGTGTGCCAGGCGAACGGCGAGTGGGCGGGCCCCTACCCCATCTGCAAAGGTCCACACCTCCTCCTCTTGGCATGCCATGGCACGTGCACGGGATGGCATAGGAATCAAGATCAAACTGTCTCAAACTTGGTTATTTTCGCCTCGAATGAGTGATTGAGTGAGTGTGTGCGGCCTGCAGGCGATTCCTTCTATCGGTTCCACCCGCACGAAAGCAGTTCACAGTATAGATGATGAGAACATGCCGTTTGCGCACACCCTATAGAGCAGTCCCTGGGTCCTACCATGCCAGGGCCTGGGCGAGTCTGTCGCAGCATGCCACCCCCTAACCCCGCAGCACCGCAGCATGCAACTGCAAAGCAACCAAGGGGCTCAATTCACCCTGGAATGTTACCCCCCAAAGGTAACTCACCTCTGCTCAGGTAAGCGTCAACCAACGATTCCGCTTTAAGAAACGAAAAACTTCTCGCGAGGAAAGTCCACCGTCGACAACTTCGAGGCGCGCCAGGAAATTAATCAATTCCGAAAGACATTTTGCGAATTCTTCCTGGCGCGACCTCGTTGTGGCTGGCTGTGGTGCTCTCCGAGTCGCGGCTGTCGGTCCGCCTGTCAGCCCGTCTAACCGCGGGCCCGGCCTGCCCTGTCGCACTGCGTTGCAGTGGTCAACTGCGAGGCGCCCGGCACCCCGGACCACGGCTACACCACGGGCCAGGGGCCGCCGTACCGCGCGGGGGACATCGTCCAGTTCAACTGCAACCCGCAGTTCATGATGGAGGGCCAGCCGATCATTGCGTGTCAAGAAAACGGGCGCTGGTCGGGGTCCGTGCCCAAATGTAAGCAGCTGGCCAGCTAGGTAGGCTACTAACAGTCAGCATGCCCTAGACATAGTGACCGGGGAGGACGGCCGATGTACCGGCGATACAGGAGAAACGGAAATGTTGCCCGCCAAAGCAATCATAGTCAGTTTTTGAAGTGAGTCGTCAAGGCTGGTGCGCCTTATCCACCCTTACTCTTCCTCTCTTGTAGTTTGGAAATCTCTTAGATTGATGCGCTCGAGGGGTAGATAACTCCCCTGCGAAGAGTACACCCCTAATTCTGTCCAATTCAGACTAATTAAAACCAATTCAATTTAATTCAAGACAGTTCAGGAAAAATTCAAACCAATTAAAAACGAATTTAATCCACCCAGTCCAATTCAACACAATTCAGAGTCAATTCAAGTCAATTCATGCCAATTCAAGTTAATTCACGCTAATTCAGTACAAAAATAAAATCGCATCAATTCAAAAACAATTGAACCAATTCAGTCCAGTTCAAATTCAATTTATTAAATTTGTACACCTTATTCAGGAGTTATCTAGCCCTCGGATGCGCCTGTTTTCCTCGCGAGACTACGCTTTGGATAACTATATAGAAAGCAATTGAATATGGTGCCCCACAATGACCGTTATTGCCCAAAGGCAACGGGTGCATGCCGATTTTTTGACCTCAAGCAAAAGTGCCCCGCTTTCGTCACATCGCCGACCACAAAGTGGACACGTCAGAGCTCAGCACGCTACGCCATTGACAGCGCCTGTGACGCGCCGGGTAGGCCGACCCGACCCGCCGTGCAGCTGTGTGGAGCCGGCGGCCCGCCCTGAGCGCCCCACAGCAGCAGGAACACGGGCAGAGGAACGTTGCGTGACGAATAACGTTCATTGTGGGAGCATCTTTAGGTGGCTTGCTAACGCGTTTACGTCGAAGACAAAATATTCGGGGCGCTTTACCATCACGAACAATAATTTGCTCCAAAATACTACGGAGCCCCCTGTGTACCATAAAACTACAGTGTATATAAGTTGAGTTTTGAGTTGTGTGTAACACAGTAAGAAGCTGCATGTCGTTTGTTTAAACAGCGTGTTTACTGTAACTTGATATGTTGATACTTTACTACTGCACGCAACTAGTAGTGTTTGTAATGGGCGCGTCTTCTCTCACCTCCATGCCAAAACAATTCCTCTGGCATGCAGGTCCGAGAACGAGCCCTGCTTGAAATGCTTCCTCGGTGTCGCGCCGAGGCCCGGCCGCCGGGGCGAGCTCTGCAGCGCCGGGTGCCCGCTCTTGTTGCAGGCGTGCAGGCCTGTTCCTACCCGGGCACGGCCATCTCGGGCCGCATGTCCGACGTCAAGTTCTACTACAAGATCGGCGAGACAGTGACATTCGACTGCGACGAGGGCCTCGAGGTCCGCGGCGTGAGCATGCTCCGGTGCATGCGCAACGGCAAGTGGTCCAACGCCATCCCCGTGTGCGTGCCGGCGGGCAGCTCCGCCAACCGGTAGCCTGGCCGAGCCGCGCCCCGCGCCCAGCGCAGCGCCGCGCCCGGCCAGCAGACAAACTTATCAGAGCCGCTACAAGAAGTGCGGCAGCAGAAGTGAGACCAGAACAGCAGCGTGCCGTCAGCATCGGCGCCCCGCAGGCCGCGAGCCGCCGGGGGTGCTCGTCCAAGTACTCCTTCGAGTCGGCCCGGGCGGGTGCCTCTGCAGCCCGCGGTGCTGCGCGACGCGCCGATCGGAAGTGGTTGGGGTTTGTCGAAACGAACTCGATTCGACGTCGACTCGATGGGATTGGGAGGGGGAAGAGCCGGTTGGCTCGACGTCGATTCGACATCCTTTCGGCCAGCATTTCTCAACTTGGTGTATCTCTTAGTCGCTCTCGCAGGTGAACGTGAACGAGCATGCGTGGGATACATTGTAGGGGAGGGGTGGACGGGATGGTGACAGGTCGGGACTAGCTCTTCCCTTCTAAGAGCAAAAAATTAAAATAA